ACATTGGTGAATGCCACAAATTCTCCTAAATCACTCGTACGCACAATTTAAGAACAAATCTGTGCGTACGAACGGTTCTTGCATGAGGCCCATTGTTACCTGCACTATGTCCATGTTAAATCTCAGAAACGTTTCCAGGTTTAAGTGGGGGAAAATGTTTTCCCAGGTGCATGTGGTGAAAGATGCAACCCGTGGTGCCACCTTGGAAGTGGTGGTGAGCAGGATGAAGGCAGTTCAAACATTCAGAACCTCCCAGAATCCAAAGGCGGGGCTCTCCATGAGATTTGTGGCTGCTTCAGCTACTGTGCCCAACGTATCAGATGTGAGTAGGCGACAGCAATTTGCTTATGAGATTTGGCTGTTTCTGTAGCATAAAACAGTAACTTGTGTCTGACTGCATTTTATCAGATAGCAGATTGGCTTTCAAATGAAAGTGGGCCGGCCACATACCTGAGTATGGATGAGAGCCACCGTCCAGTAAAGCTTCGGAAGGTGGTGCTGGGATTCCCCTGCAGCCAGAACCAAACTGAGTTTAAGTTTGACTTGACGCTTAACTACAAGATGGCAAACATCATCCAGACGTACTCAGATCAGAAGCCTTCACTGGTGGTGGGTGGAAGAATAGAACCTGTCTTATTGATTTGCCCGTCTTGATGAAATAAAATAAGTAGTTTGATTTTACCTAAGAGATATAACTGCAGGTTATGTTTTGTTCATAAAACAAGAGTAATTAGAGTCAGTACAGCAGAGCAACCATTCACTCTGTCATCACAGTGTTACTGAGTGAAGCTTTAACTTTAACTAACACCAGTTTACCTAGAATTGTGAATGATTATTGCCCACTGCTAAAAGTTAAAGGGTGATTTGTTTTTGCTTGTGTTTGTGGGCGTATGCATGTGTACATTTGGTTGTTGTGTCACTGTTTGCGACTCATGGGTACATTTATATACAACTAAACAACTTTTAGAGTCATCCCTATTTAAGCTGTCTACCACAGCCAACTAACATTAGATCATAAACTGCTGTAATTCAGACAATTTTACATATATGGTATTTATCTATAAAAAAGCTACCATCTTCAGTTAGGTTGACTTCTAAAGATGATCAATGTACAGCCAGTGCTTTCATTACAACAGTTTTATTGAAATTCATCCAGTGGTTCATGGGTAATGCCAAAGTTTTATGCAAAGATGTCTCTTGAAATGTTTATATAAATTGATCTATTAGTACACCACATGCGTAAAACAAATCAACACAGTGATGTTTTTGCCTCTTTGTGTTGCTGCCCTTTCTTCTCACCATATTTGAAAGATGTTCTGGCATTAAGGACACTTAAACATGGCACATTGCGTGCTGTTTTGTTCCATTCTTTTAACAAACATGTCTAAAAATGTGCAAAACTAATACTTTTATTATCGTTTCTTCAGAATTAGTCTATTTCATAAGGTTACTGTAAGGATTAGCCTCTGACCCCTCTGATCAATAATTACTATCAATCAGAGCACCACGAGTCATTTCTACTGCAATCAGTTCAGCCTATTCCTGGAGGCCCGAGGCCAAAACCCCACCTATTCGACTGGGCTAAAACTCACTACTGTGGCATTTTTTAAAAGTGAACAAAAATAAGAGTGTAGTGAACTTTAAAAAAATGTTACAGAAAAATTGATTTCTAAAAAGAAAAAATCACAAGTGAAATATAAATTGTCGCTAAGTAAATTTAAACACAATAAATGAACCCCTCAACGCCTTAATCTGAATCAGAAAATTAAAAAAGACAAAAAAAAATGTAGTAGCTAATCTAAACACTCCCATCGCCCCCAGGCCAAAATGACCCAAGGAGGACAGGAGAGTCAGGCAGTGATAAACTGCCATCTGCATCCTATAGCAAAGATCCCCAATAATCCTCAACAAAAGCCTGGTTTTCTTTTGTGCTTAAGGTTTTTCTAAACTTCTGTGATGTTTATTCATAAATGTGTACTCCTCGTTCCCTTCATCTATCCAAGGAACTAACTACAGATGACATCATTTCATGATATGTATAGGATATAATGTTACAAACACCTCCTCTTCTACATAAAAAATGAAAAACAAAGAATCGTTTTACAAGCAAACTAAGACACGGTGACACATGTTTTATTCACGAGTCTCCTCCCTCTTCCTGGTCAGCTGACTGGCTCCTCACCACTTGCCATCTCTCTTTTGCTGAGGCTTCTGGATCCCACGATTTGACGACCTTCCCTCTCTTACACAGTGACAGTTATCAGGTCTAGAGAACCAGGCTTGACCTTCATGGGGAAACTCTTGGCTCTCCTGGCCTCTCCTGCCTGCAGCCTGACAGGTTCTGGTTCTGACCTGGTCCAGTTCCATGATTAGCTGCAGCAGACTGACCCTGATTATGTCGAGGCTGATGTTTTTTGTCCCAATCCACGTCCTCAGCAGGCCTACAGGGGTTCCTCTCTTGGCCTTTTCTGGGTAGATGAGGGCACGTCTCCTTCCTTCTGGGTAGATGAGGGCACGTCTCCTTCCTTCTGGGTAGATGAGGGCACGTCTCCTTCCTTCCTTTTGGGTGGATGAGGGCACGTCTCCTTCCTTCCTTTTGGGTGGATGAGGGCACGTCGCCTTCCTTCCTTTTGGGTGGATGAGGGCACGTCTCCTTCCTTCCTTCTGGTTGGATGAGGGCACGTCTCCTTCCTTCCTTTTGGGTAGATGAGGGCACGTCGCCTTCCTTCCTTCTGGGTAGATGAGGGCACGTCTCCTTCCTTCCTTTTGGGTGGATGAGGGCACGTCTCCTTCCTTCTTCTGGATAGATGAGGGCACGTCTCCTTCCTTCTTCTGGATAGATGAGGGCACGTCTCCTTCCTTCTTCTGGATAGATGAGGGCACATCTCCTTCCTTCTTATTTTTTGTTCCGCTTTCGGAGGAGTAAGACGCTTCTTCCTCCTCTCCTGCCATTCCTTATCTTTCCCTGCTTTGCTGCAAGGAGCCTTCTCTACATTTTTCATCTGAAACTAGAAATTATGGATATTTTTATTTTTATGGACTTGGTTAGCTGGTCTTTCAATAAAACTTTTGGAACAAAGTTTTTTTTTCTTCTTCCATGGGAGGACATGTCAAAGGTGGGACCTCTGTTCTTCTCTGTTCTGGATATACATTTGGACTCTGATCACTGGATTCTACAGATTGGCTGGGTGGTCTCCTGGTGTTGTACAAAACAGCGTCGGTGGCTTTGCACTTTCTGGCTGACTGACCAACTGGATGGACGGCCGTATTTTATCAGCACTCGAACATTTTGCCTTGAGCGAGCTGGACTCGTTCTGCAAACGGTTCTACTGAGAGTCGCGGGCCGGCTGTGGTCCCTGGACTTTGCTGGCTAGATAGAATTCATCTTGGAGAAAGCTGATGAATCGGCTCGGTGGTATCTGTCCACACCATTTTGCTTGATTGGATTCGCCACCTTGAGAGTACCAGCAGACATTAAGGCAGAGGGAAAATTGTTTATTGTCTGCCTGTCCTTTCTGTTCCCAAAACAACTGATTACAGAATCTGGATATCCCCGGCAACAGCCTTGGATCTTAAATCCTTCCTGGCTGAAAGATGTCGACACGGCTCTGCCCTCTCCCTCCCCCCTCACTCCTCCTCCCTCACCCATATGAACTGATCCAAAAGAAAGCTGAGGGCTCACAGAATGAATAATTTACCATCAATATTCTGAACTTTGGCTGCACTGGCTTTGGGACTGGATTCTTCGGGCCCCCTAATCTCAATTACTCCTCTGGCTAATAAATTTGCCCTATGCAGAGGATTTTTTCATAAACACCATTGTGTGTCACAGTGTTGATATAATATGATGTTTTTGCTTTTTTCCTCATTTTCCCTTCTGTGGTTTTTAATTTTTCTGTTTTTCTGTTTGTCTAAAGGTAGCGCAACTGTTTGCTGCATGACCTGTCTTAACTGCCCCTCCCCACTTCCCTGAATGTACAACACCTTGTGAATTTATTTCTGTGAAAGGTGCTATGTAAATAAAACTTTACTTAATTACTTACTTACTTCTTCTGGGTAGATGAGGGCACGTCTCCCTCCTCCTTCTGGGTGGCTGAGGGTACGTCTCCATCCTTCCTTCTGGGTAGGTGAAGGCATGACTCTCTCCTTCTTCTGGAAAGATGAGTGCACGTCTCCTTCCTTCTGGGTGGATAAAGGCACGACTCCCTCCTTCTTCTGGATAGATGAGGGGACGTCTCCCTCCTTCTTCTGGATAGATGAGGGGACGTCTCCCTCCTTCTTCTGGATAGATGAGGGGACGTCTCCTTCCTTCTGGATAGATGAGGGCACGTCTCATTCTTTCTGGGTGGATGAGGGCATGTCTCCTTCCTTCTGGGTGGATGAGGGCACATCTTCTTCCTTCTTCTGGGTGGATGAGGGCACGTCTCCTGCCTTCTGGGTAGATGAGGGCACGTCTCCTTCCTTTTTCTGGATAGATGAGGGCACATCTCCTTCCTTCTTCTGGGTGGATGAGGGCACGTCTCCTTCCTTCTTCTGGATAGATGAGGGCACGTCTCCTTCCTTCTGGGTGGATGAGGGCACATCTCCTTCCTTCTTCTGGGTGGATGAGGGCACGTCTCCTTCCTTCTTCTGGATAGATGAGGGCATGTCTCCTTCCGTCTTCTGGGTGGCTGAGGGCACGTCTCCTTCCTTCTGGGTGGATGAGGGCACATCTCCTTCCTTCTTCTGGATAGATGAGGGAACGTCTCCTTTCTTCTGGGTGGATGAGGGCATGTCTCCTTCCTTCTTCTGGGTGGATGAGGGCACGTCTCCTT